TAGTGTGACCCTGTAGACCCTGTACTAAATACATTAAAAAAAAAAAAAAAAAAAGCTGTACCTTTTGATAATTGTGTCTCCCTGTGTAAGTTGTAGACCATTCCATTTACCCTAAAACGTCCCTTCTTGCCCTTCGCAGTTGTCTCTTGGCCTTAGGTGACTACTAAATCTGTTCTTCAGTGCTAAAGATTAGTTTTGCCTACGGGTCGGGGAGATAGCTCAGTAAAATAAGCGCTACCCTGGCAAGCACAAGGGCCTGAGTTCAATTCCCAGTTCCACAAAAAAAACAAAATTCACCTAAAAAAAAAAAAAAAAAACACAAGTAAGTTGGGACCCCAGGGTGAAGGATGGGGTCTTCAACTAGGAGAGGGACAAAGAAAACCAAATGTAAATCACGGACATTAACTAAAGTTCCTAATCAGTTTTGGTAAAAAGTACAGGAAATACTGTTTACAAGAGCCATTAAAAGGCAGGCTTAGTGGCATACATCTGTAATCCTAGCACTGAGGGAAGCTGAGGCAGAGGGATGGCAAGTTGGAGTACCAACTGGACAAGTGAGCAAAACCCTGTCTCAAAATAAAAATACAAGATGGACTGGGAACCCAACTCAGTGATATAGTAGAGTACTCCTAGATCTGATCCCTAGCACTGCAGAAGGAAGGAAGGAAGCAAGCAAGCAAGCAGGCAGGCAGGCAAGCAAACAGGCAAGCAAAAAACCCCCCCCAAAACTGCAAAAAGCTGAAGAACCAAAACAGGGGTGCTGTGGCTGCCTTCTCCTGTCCAAGACACTTACTTGTGACAGGCCTTGGCCTTATCGTCATGAGCCACCATGCCTGGCCTCAATGACTTAATTTGACAAAACTGGTTTTAAATTCTGTACCCTAAAAAAAAAAAAAAAAAAAAAAAAAAATTGCATCCTACAGAGTGATCCTTCTTTTCTAAAATCTATGGAACATGGAGGTAAGGGGAAGAGAAAGTAAAAAGAAATAGGACGTGAGCCAGATGTGGTGGTGCAAGTCTGCAACTGTAGTAGCAGAAGGCTGAAGCAGGAGGTATGCTGGGAGTTTGAGGCCAGCCTGGACTTACATGGTAAATTTGAGGCCAGCCTGAACTACATACACAGCGAGACTTTGTCTCGAACAACAACAACAACAACAACAAAAAAAAAAAAAAAAAAAAAAAAAGATGTGCTATCAACATGCACCAACTCCCTGCAATGAGTGTAATCACTATGGACGAGTAAAAGGCATGGACTAGTAAAAGCTTTAAAAAAAAAAATCAGTGAAAAGTCAAAAAATGGTGTGTATTAAAGAACAAAAAAACTTTTGCTTGATGCAGAAAATCTCACAGGACATGTCCTTTGACCATAAGTGTAATGGAACTGAAAAAATTAGCCAAAAAATAAAAATATAGTCCCCTTACTTCCAAACACTCCTGGGAAATGAAAGAACAATCCTTTAGATACGTTTGCAGAGCACTTTTTACAGTTAAGGAGGAAGCAATGAAAATAGTAAACTAGAAACAAAATTTAAAATTAACAAAATAAATCTTTGAAAGCAGGAAAAAGAACTAATAAAGAAAAACAAAAACAGCACCTACATACTGGTAGAAAGACAGACATGCAGACTGATGTGCAGAACAGAAAGCCCAGGAAGCAGCCCACATTAACTGTCATGGACTTTAAAGGTGCTAGATGACACAATGAGGGAGGACAGGCTCAACAACAGTGCAAGGAAATGCAGAACAAGATGGACTTTCGTATTACAGCAGGCAAAACAAATGAACACAAAGCAGATTTAAAAACCTAAGCATATGACCTAACACTATAAAACCCCCAAGAGAAATAATTGGAAAAGGTTTTATAACACCAAAAGCAAATGAAACTGCAACAGAAACAATATTATTTCAAACTAAAAAGCTTCTACAATTAAAGGAATCTATCAACAGAAAGAAAAAGCAAAAACATACACAAACAATATATACGTATTATTTGCAGGTTTTTTGTTTTTTTTTTAAATTTGTGTGTGTGTGTGTGTGTGTGTGTGTGT